GTGATATCAGGGATGTGAGTCCTCATGCGAAGGTGAGGGACAGGAGGGTTTAGATTTCTGATGGAAAGAACAGAATGTGTAAAGACCATGCCAATGTGAAGCGGTGAGTGGCTGCAGAGTAGTGAAAGGCAAAGTGGCTCAGGATCTCAATAGAAAGAGCAGAGGGAGAGCAGGTGCTTGGCTCTGTTGAGAGTTCCTTCAGGAAGGCAGATTCTTTGAACATGGCATGGAATTAAGTACTTATTGTAGATGTTGGAACACAGCCGAGAGTTTTTGCATCTCTGCATCTGGTGGTGATGGCTGGCGATCAAAACGAAGAGCTGGATATGACTTGGAAGCATAGGTCAAAACAAGAGTCTGTATCAGACTCCATGTAACCTTGACAGTGTGGTGACCTCCATGAGGAACAGGAACTCTGCCACAGAGATGCATATGTTCTTGTCCTAGGGAGCATGTGTGTGCTGGGTTTGAAGAAGTTGAAAGAAGATTCTGCAGGAGCTAAGGAGGCTGCATTTCAGATGCTGCCTTGTGCCTACAAAGACAGGGAACAGACTGGTGATGGAACACAGAGGTAAAACAGGGCAGAGTGCCCTGTACCTCAGAACATAATGGCTGCCTTGAAAATGCATACTGATTTTTTTAATGACTATTTCTAATCTGAAACCAGGCAAGGAAGGAACTTCTAGGAAACATTAGCTTAACTAACAGCACCATTCCTTGAAAAATGATTTTTAGTCATGATAAGTAGGCTTTGGAGTTCTTCATAAGTAAACAAAAAGCCATCAAAACTGTCTAGGCTGGCTAGAGTGGCTTGTGGGATGGGGTTGGTGATGTGTGGGATGGGGTAGGAGAGAAATTGGAGAGAATATGAATAGATTTGTGATGAGATTTGCATCTTGGATTCCTGCATTCCATTGAAGAAAACAGATGGGAAAAAACTGAGTAGGTAGAAATACTTCTTTTAGGAACTTAATCCAATGGTCCAAGTAAAAGATAATGGCAAGGATAAGAGGGGTGTAAGGGAGATGGAATTTGCTGATTCCTTTATTAAGAGTTGAGGGAGAGAAAAGTGTCAAGGTCACGAATCTGGTTCTGGACACATTGAGTTTGCCGTGTTATTGAGAATATCCAGATGGAAAGGGTTAATTGTGTCGACAGTAGTCATTGCTCTAGGAGCAGGAGCAACTGGAACAGGCATGGATTAGCCATTTATTATGATCATTGACTGACTTTCTAGGGGTCCGAGACCAATTTCTGCTTTATTTCTGGGTACCCAGTTCTCTGGTCCTTTCCAGCACGGAGCAGAACTTACTCTATATCTTGCTTGACTCTTCTACTAAATATTTTGACAATCACGAGCTTGTACTTTCTTCTGCTTCTGTTAATTCCATCTCCTTCCATTTCCTAGTGGTCTCTAGTCCTTTTGCTTTGGGGATCAGCAAACTTTCTTTGCACAAAGTCAGTTTCTGCTGCAGTTGTAGACTGTTCTTTTAGGGAATACGCAGGACACAAATGAGGCTGCTGTGTTCCAATAAGTCTATATTTTCAAAATAGATTGGGCTGGAATTGACCTAGGACCCTCCTGACTAGTCCCTCATAGATTTCCTTTCTCTTGTAACTTTCAGTCATCTTCAACCTACTGCTCCTAAACATATTCAGATTCTAAAAATCACGTCCCTGTGCGCTCAGCTGCCTTAGCAAATGTTCACTACAGCCTTTCCCACTTCCTTCCCTGCTTCCCAAAGGTCATCTTTTCCTGTCTAGTTAAATTTTAATAATCTGACTTTTCCTGTTGTTGTCTCAAAAATAATCATGAACTCTACTTTTTTTGCATGAGATGACTTCTTCCTGGCGTTCCTTCCCCTCCCCCATCTCAGATGGTTGCCTGTACTATGCCCTTAGAAACCTTGCACTTCCTTGATGTCTGTGTTCTCTCTTCATTCTTTTCCCATTTCTGATGGTGAAATGTCACATCTGACAAAGGCCTTTTATCCAAAATATGCAAAGAACTTGTAAGAATTCCATTTCAATTAAAAATGGACCAAAAACCTTTAAGAGATACTTCATAAAAGAAGATATAGAAAGTATACAAGCATGCCAAAGGAGCTTCTGTATTTATGTTATTATGGATTCACAAATCTAAGAGTGGGTGGGATAAGAATATGAGGTTCTCTGTGAAGGATAAACAGGCCCCAAGCAGGGTTAAGTAAACCACCTCAGATGCGAGCTAAGTTGAGAAACCCTCAGCCTGGAAAATGTGTGAAACCCCCAATCTGGAGACTGTTATCTGGGAAAACATTGACCAGTCCTTATTTCCCAAACCCTCAAATCATTAAAAAAAAAAACAAACCCAAAACCCCCCAAAACATAACTGCTAGATGTGGTTGCATACATATTTAATCCCTACATAAAGGAGGCAGAGGCAGGTGGATCTCTGAGATCCAGCAGCCTGGTTTACATAGTGAGTTCCAGGCCAGTTGGGGCTACAGAGAGACCCTGTCTCCGAAAAAACCAAAGGAAACGAAACCAAAGGAAACCAAACCAAACCAAACCAAGCCAAGCCAAGACAAACCAAACAAACAAATAGCACTGCAGAAAATGCCCTCTCTTTTCTCCTTCAAAACTCCATAAACACTTAGACGAACTGTGCCTCACTGTACAATTTTCCCTCTTGAGGTCTCTCTTTCATTTTTCACATTGCCCTGGTCAATCTCAATCTAACATTTTCTCACGCTATGAATGACCAGAATCCAAAACACAGATAACATCAAATGATAATAAGAATGTAAAGGAATGTCCATAGATTGATGATATCAGAAAATGGAAAACAAACAAACAAACAAAACGAACAAAAAACCCGCACAAACATGTTGGAAGAGTCTCTGCTTGGGGATCAGTTTCTTTGAAGAAGCCAAACTGGGTTTTATAGCTTTCCCACTCTTGAAATAAGCTGTTAATCCATTCATCTATTAATTGCATGAATTTTAACCCATTCATGAGGGCAACGTCTAACATTTTCTCAATCTCATAACAGGATTGTGTTTAAGGGGTAGTGTTGAGCAGATGTCCTGAGTGCCTGCCGTTGCCTCCGTGTCTTCTCACTTCGGTAGGCTCTTCCTTCTTCAAATCTCCTACTATTAGGTCTTTCTTTCCTGAATGTTTGAAGACACTCCTGGAAGCCTTGGGACTGGACGTCATTTGCTTTCCTGGCCTCCTCTATTCACCCCCTTTTTTCTGCCAAGAGCAGGAAGTGCTGCGGAATTAATTACTACCACAGTGATTGACGTGAAGTTCACTAACTCTGAATCTTAGACTGGGTTTCAGAGTTTCCTAGGGAATTAAGCTCTACCTGCCCACAACGTAGCAGGCAGTACAACATACCCTTCCCTCCTGTGCTTCTCGGCTCCTCACAGCGTTTCCTGCACTTTTCCACACTGCTGGTATTTGAATCCTTGCATCACAGTTTTGCATCTGTGGAACCTGAACTCAGACTGACAACAGCGCAGGAAGAACTTACCTCTTCCAAGTCTTTTCCTCCCTCCC